TTGACATGGAACACAAAGAGTTAAAACTATTAGGAAAGTAAACAAAGAGCATTCTGCATTCTCTGCCTTTCCTTTGACATCCTATTGAAGTGTGATCCTAGTGTATGTTGACCATGTATTTTTCATTTCACTCTATCCACAGTGAGTTTCAATGAATTTTTAAGACCCAATGATATTGTAGAAAAGCAAGGAAGTACTAACATTTCACAAGATGCCCTTTAAAACAGTGGCAACCGAGGCAGGTTTTATATCTTGATGGACTTGTTATAGGCTAATTTATCATTGCTAGCATTTTATTCTCTACTAGTAAAATGTCCAGCACTGTTGTTACATAAGGCTGTGAAAGTTTAGCAATTCTTATTTTCTTCTTTTAAAGAAATTATATATGTCTATAAAAATTATTCTGGAAAAAACTCTCAACCTGAAAGTTAAAAGAGTATTTAGAAATCATATATGGTATTTTCTGTCTGTTCATTAAAGGAAAACATTGAGTGTTGGAAAGTTAGTAGCTCAAAAAAAATAGGAGATCTGATCCAATTGTGCCCAATTTTGACACCTTGCTTAGCAATTTCACTGTTTTTTTAACAAAGTTGAGATGAAGTTGGTGCTCTTTACTTTTCTTCCTTTGTGAACATTTCTGCCACCTTGAGGGATTTACTTGCCAATGGCATGCTTAATTTTAGTAACATTTTTCCATTTGATATTATATTTTTTTGTTTCTGTGGTTAAAAATCTCAATTTGATTCACCATCAGTTGATCTATTTAAATAATATTTTATATGATCCCTCTCTCCCTCCTGCCCACCTCTGTAGCAGGCCTCCCATCCTCTCTCCTGATAAACACATTGATTTATTTAAACCACTGTTGTCTTTGTCGCGCTCACAGCAGACTACCTTCGTCCCAGTGAGCAGACGCATGATTTACTATGGAGGATGAAAATAAGCCTTCTTCTTGGTATCCCATTGTCTGGGCTCTAAACCAGCTGTCTATTAAAATGGTTTCACTTAAAGGAGTCAGTGCTGTTTATATGCTTCTGTGATCTCCCAGCTTTACTCATACCCCACAGAGGCACATATTTAAATTAGGAAGAAAAACAGAAACTTCTCCCTAAGTTGGTGTTTGAGGATTCCTTGCCTTTTAGGCTTAAAGTTGTGGTTTTCTGAGCTGAGAACCATTCTTGACATTTGTGCTCAATGAAGACGACGGAGATTTGATGTGTAGTTCCCAGGGGTGTGCAGGCTGGAAGGAGAACTTGGTGGCATTAAAAAAAAAAAAAAAAGTCTTACTTTAAAGAAAAAACAGGATCAGAGACATTTGTCAAATTAAATTTATCATATTTTCTTATATTGGAGTTTTATCAGAATATTGATTTTGGGTCTCATACTTTCTGTATGTTACTGTCTTTAATTTTAATTTTTTTTTAATGTAACAAGCTTCTTCAGTAATAAACACTACTTAGATGGGGTTGGAGGTGGACCTGCCTTTGAATTACACTCCAAAGCTACCCTTATTCACCTTAGACTCTAGTTTACTCTACTTAGAGGATTCTATGGTCTGATTCTATGGTCAAGTGAAAAGTCTGCTGTTCCCCTTGCTTATATTTCAGAAGTCACAGAAGCAACACTGCTTTCTGGGCCTTCATGTGCTGAAAAATATTCCTCTGGGGGCCTCCAGGAGAGGGATTGCAGAGACTTGGTGTTTCCATCCCTCCCCCAGAGTGTAAAGATTTCTGAGCAAATCCAAACTCATGGTTTCATTTTTCTAGGCTTGTTTGAGAGAAGGATTCTCAGTTTTGACTTTGCTGACAGTAGCGAAGAGGCAGTTTGGTATTTGGTAAAGAGATGCATTGCAGAGGGAGGCTCTGTGATGCTGCAGAGACAAAGTCACCAAGATCTGATTTCTTAGAGTTTGTGAATTACCTACTGCTTTGAAGGGCCCATAAGCATATTTGCATTGCAGCAGAACTTTAGCTGACTATCATCATATTGTTGTTGTTAAGCGCTGTGGACGGGCCCAATGATTTCAATGGAACTCGAAAGAATCAAAGTGAGAAGTTCTGATGAAATTGACACATCCTGACCTCCCAAAAAAACTTCCCCTTTATTTTAATAGTAGAGAAAATCCCACTAATATCTGTGAATTTATTTCCGACATTACTTGCATTATTAGTGTAGCATGACAAAAACTAAAGTGTTATCAGAGGCATTAAGAAAGCACACAAAAATTTAATGATAATAATTTATCAGAAATGCGTCATTAGAGTTTTTTTTCATACCATGTATTAGATCTAATCAGTTATTTATGTGTTTCTCTGATCTTGCTGCAGCGATGCAGTCAACAAAGAAGGCAAATATTATTTCGGGTTTTGCAAAAACAGTCTCAATTTACTTAATGCATTTTCTTGAGTAAAATAACTTTTTAGGTATTTGTGAAGGTCTTTTTAGAATACAGGAAAGAATCATCACTGTTTGCTTAAATCGTTTTTGTTGTTGTGAAGTGTCATTGAGTTGGTTCTGACTCATAGTGACCCTGTATAGGGTTTCCAAGGAGCAGCTGGTGAGTTTGAACTACCCACCTTGTGGTTCAAACTGATCTTGCGGTCTAGTGCTTTATCCCACAGCACCACACACACCTAGTTTATCTCCCCAGAAGATAGTTAGGAATCGCATAGGATAAAGTGATCACTTTACAGTGAGGAACCCGATTGAAGATCTCTGGTGGATGGCAGATAACACTTGAACCAAATGATCAGACTTTACACGGCCACTGGTGGAACTAGTTGACAGTATGATTTGATGAAGAGAAGAATTCCTGCTCCAAAGTACTTACCTTTCACCATGCGAAAGTATCAGCCAAATCCAGATTGAAGGAAATTCTATAAAATAACTGGCCTGTATTCTTCAAGTATGTCAGTGTAATTGAAAGAAATACAAAGATGCAGGAACTGTTCCTTATTAAAGGAGACATGACAACTGAATGCAGTGATTGGGATTGACTTTTCTTGTGCTATGAAGAGCATTATTGAGTAATTGGTGAAATCTCAATAAGGTCAGTATATTAGATGATTGTATCAATGCTAATTTTCTGATTTTGATAACTGTACGGTGACTGGGTAAGAGAACTCCTTGTCTTAAGGAAACACATGCTGAAGTATTTAGGGCATGTCTGTAACTGACTAGCAAGTGGTTCAAGGAAAAAAAAAAAAAAAAAAGAATAAAGCAATTTTAGTAAAATGCAAACATTTGGAGAATCTGGTTAAAGGGTATCCTGGAATTCTTTACATAGCCTTGACATTTTTCTGTTAAGTGTAAAATTATGTCAAAATAAAATTAAAGAAAAAACACAGGGCTATGATGTAGCACTGTGGTATAAAGCACTGGACTGCAAGGTCAGTTTGAACAACAAGGTTGGTGGTTCAAATTCACCAGTCGCTCCTTGGAATTCCTATATAGGGTCTCTGTGAGTCGGAATAACTTGAAGGACCTAGCAACAACAATGACAAGGCTATGATAGGAATCGTGGTGTGGTACAGTAGGAGAAAGCACTGGACTGGAGGTTATTTTGAACCCAAACCCACCAGATCCTCTCACAAACCCTGTACTGGGTCACTGTGATTCAGGACTGACTCAGCAATACTTGGCAAGAACAACAAATGATAGACTAACCAGAGAAAATGGTTGTGATAGGTTAGTGGTTGACAAATGTTTTCTCCTCATGCAGTACTTTTCCTCATTAAAAAACGTGTTGCTAGTTGTATTTTGTAATGTAGTGGTGTATCATAACCAGCCTGCTCTGCTTTGAGGACCTGCGCACACGGTGTCTTAAGTTGCACCTATTATTTCCAAGTTCTGAAAATCCAGGTTCATACACAAAACATGGTAATGCTGACCACGCATTATCCATTGCAGCATCTGTATGTACTAAATAAGATGGTCTCTGGTTAATTTAGGTCATTTTGTCACCAAGAACTTGAGGGTTATTTCAATGTGTGAAAGTAATTTTATTAACAATTTGAAGCTGTGTTATATTAGTATTATGCAGTGATGCTGTGTTAAATTAGTTAAAATGTACCCCCATGCAGAACACTGCACTACCAAATAGCTGTGTGCTTTTTTGGGGCCTGGTTATTAACATGTATATATATATATATATCTACCAGGAAGCCGAGGTCCTTGTAAACCTTCCTGGTGACCATAAACAAAATGCTTGTATATACATTACAAAAAAAATAGACAGGTGAGGTGGTTTGGAACTTCTGATTTTGAGAGATGGATGCAATTATTTTTAGGTTAGAGAAAGAATTCTGTGGCTTAAGCCCTCACCCATACCCAGCATATGTCTGTGAGTATTACTGTTTGGGTGGGTGTACACCCTGGGAATGAACATGTTTTTAGCCTGTTGGCGGGCAGAGGGATTTTTTCCCTGACTGATGGATGATTCATCTCACAGAAGACAGAGTTACTGAATGGATTCCTTTGCCTCCTCCCTTCTTGTTTTCTAGTACAAACCACAAGAACACTAAATGTTGGGGTTGGAAGAAGTAAAGTGAGAAAACTACAAACATAAATACATGTACACACTTGTGCTCACATATATTAACATTTAAATCAAATCCATGTGCTTTTCTATATTTTAAATAAATTGTATCTCAATCTGCTAAACCTTCTGGGTTTTTCCTCTTCATTTATTAGACTTATTTTTATTCTGGATGGAAAGGAGAATTGTGGTTGTCTTGACGACAGAAGCCCATCCTACACACTGATCCAAAAATGTGCATCATAATACGATGCTTGACAGGGAAGAGACAAACGTATCCTGTTCCACTCAATTTGGGTTGATCCTTAACAAGGAATCTTGAAACAATCAGCTCAGTGAGGCTTTGGGCTCCTAAAAGCTAATTGGCCAGTGGCAGTAGTAAAATGCTCAAGAACTCAATTGTGATAGTTTGTTTTCTGCTACTTGGCTCCATTCTTAACTAAAACTATGCGTTTGTTCACAGGCCATAGTGTATGAAGGCCAAGACAAGAACCCAGAAATGTGCCGAGTCTTACTCACCCACGAGATCATGTGCAGGTAAGAAATACTGCATTCTCCCCCTTTAATTAGCAAAGAGAAGATGAAGTTGTATCCCAAATCTAGGTGAACTCAGGTCTACTTTGGAATATGCATCTATCTTGATTTTATTAGACCATCTAAAAGAAACTGTTAAACATGAGTACTGGGTAGTAAAGTATCAGGCATCACAGAGCTTCTCAATTATTTATTAGATTTCATCCTGAAAAACATACATTTCCATTTTGATATCACACTGTTAATGGGCACAAAGCAGTGCCCTTCCTTTCTCCCTTCCAATGGAATAAAATACAATATAACCCTTTTAGTGCTAATAAATGTGCTCAACTGCATTGCTAGTAAAATGATTAAGGGTTCTATTGAAATCAGCAGTGGCCTCTGTTTGGCTAAGACTTGAAAGTTATAAAAACCCATTGCTGTTGAGCTGATTCTGACATAGTCACTCTATAGAACACAGTAGGATTTCTCCCTAGGTTTCTAAGGCTGTAAATCTTGATAGGAATAGACTGACACATCGTTCTCCTATGGAGCAGCTGGTGGGTTTGAACTGTCAACTGTTCAGTTCACAGCTGATTGCTTAACCCACTGTGCCATGAGGGGCTTTTGAAAGTGACAGCTCCCTTTTTAATTCTCCCACTTAAAAATATGACCACCTACATTTAGGCCTCATTCTCCTTTAACATGAATGTGTGTGTGTGTGTGTGTGTGTGTGTGTGTGTGCGTTTCATTACATCAGACCTCTTAATCTTAGTTATCCTGTATTTCTCAGGGAAAGTGAGCTTTATACCCTGAAAGGTATAAAAATTCATGTCACCTACAAATGAGTGTCTTTATTTTTGCCAGTAATCACAGTGAAAGAACATTTGAAAACAGGCAAGCAGACCAAATTCACTTCCCTGGACTCCATGGATGAAAGAGTCAACCAGACAACAGCCTTCTAACTTGCAGCTTAGAATTCTGCCTGAAATAATATCGGCACCTTGCTCCCAGTATATTCTGAGTAATTAGATAAAGCATGAAGATGCCATGATGCATCAGAGAAAGGCTACTAATTGCTTTGTTAGCCATTCCGGCTCTTCCTGGCACCATGTCAGTTTGGCTTCTGACCATTATTGATCAATTCCTTTAGAGTTTCAACTGCCCCTTGGTCTGAGTGGGGTTTATTTGCTACTACTAGGCCTGTTTAAGACTTGTGGTGTGGTGCTATGGGATCAATACAGGACTGCAAACCACAAGGTCAGCAGTTCAAACCCACCAGCTGGTCCTCAGAAACCCTATACAAGGTTCATTATGTATCAGAACTGACTCGATGTTACTTAACAACAACAATAGCATCAACAGGCCTCTTTAGGAAATGGTGATCCTAAAACTGTACAGATGGAAATGTAAAGGGTTTGATGTGTTTTTGTTTTAGTGGAAATACTATTTCCATGTTTGTAATAGGTATACATACAGAAGTTTCTTTTTTAACATACTATTATTCCGCGGGTGAAAGACGAGGCTTTCTGCTCCCGTAAAGATTTACAGCCTAGGAAACCCTGTACAGGGTCGCTATGAGTCGGAACCGACTCCACGGCACTTAGCAACAACGACATTATTATATATTATTCTAAAATTTGAGGGGGTTTCAAAAAGTTTGGGGAAGAACGGAATTGAAAGATAATGGAATTTTCCCACAAACGTGTAGAAGCCACTTCATGCGCAGGAGCTTCACAAGTTTTCACGTCAATGATTTATAAACGTGTCAGCTATTTCAAAGACAGGTTGTTTTTCTCTAACTTTAAAGCAACAGCAGAATCTAAAAATGTGGTGATGGATTTCTTACATTACAGGTGAAAAAATAGTGTTATACTGGAAAGAACAATTGTACAATTAAAACTGAGTGGCCCCTCTCAGAATTAAATGAGAGAAATCCATTTTGAAAAGCATTAAAAAATGTCCTCCTTCGTATTTCTGTTTTTCTGACCATATCACTATTTTAGCTTCCCACAATTAGCATGTCATTAAGATGAATTTTCCATGTTCTACTGCATGTGACTCTAGCAAAAGAGACAGACAGGAAAATGAATTTCAGCCAATAGACCAACTAAAATCTATATATCACGGATTTGCATCTCATATCTGCACTTGTTTGGACTATGCTCAAAATAATTCTGTTATTGAAATATCTAAAGATATATTATGCCTTTCACACACAGGCCTAGCCTCTATTAATGCAGCTTATATTTTTCTTGTTTTTAAAATTCATTGGTCCAAAGTACTTTATTATGCTGGTTGGTTTTCTTTACTGCTGATGTTCTTTCTATTTTTCAGAAACATAAAATAGCAAAAAAATTCTCAAGCCACTGAAGGCAAATGATGATATTTGTACTGCGTGGCTAAGAGGGAAAAGCCATATTCAAAATGTCATCCCGCTAATGTTACAGATTACAGTTTTCCTGGCTGCGCATAGATGTGTAAGGGGTACTGTTTGTTTACTAGGGCCACCATGACCCTATTACACAAACCTGTCATCTATTGTGTGCCTAACAGTCTTTTAAATTGCAAATCTGATGCTCTTTAGGGGGCTTTAGGAAAAAAAATTCTCACTTTCCACACCATCTTATTTCTCTTGATTTCTTGCCTGTTGTAAGTGGAAGTTGGGATGTGCTGAATTTGCACCAGGGGTGCAAATGCAGGCTCAATTATAAGCATAAAATTAGAGTCTGTTCACCATTAATCAGCCTGGCTAATTGCTATGCACCACCATTTGCCATATGGTGTGAAAGACAGCTTGCTCTCCCCAAGATGAAATTTCTTCATTGCAGACATGAAATACTGAGGGCGCTGGATTTTAAAATAGCTTGTTTTAGATATTTAATTTCTAAACAACTTTCTGCAGTGCTTTCTATCAAGGCTAACGGCACAATAAAACTTTGCGTTTATGTCACAAAAGCTGTATATTTGTAGTACGTGCAAAAGAGACATAGAGATTTTAGATCAACAAGAAAGGGCTGAAGAGAATTGTGTTTTATTGAAGGCAAAGGAAAAAATAGAAAAATGCCAAAAGAGAGTTGTGTTTCAGGTGGTTACAAATTTAAGAAATCAATTGTGCTCTGTCAAAAGGGAGGCCTCATTTCATGGACTGGCTAAAGGACTTGCCACCAATGGATTATAGTTATTGTCCTTCTCAGAGACAAAACCTCTCTGGTTCAGTATCATGGCGCTAGTTCAATGGTATTCTGGGAGAGTTCCTGGTAAACTGAAATCTATCATAGCAGTCAGCATTGCATTTTGCTAATACCAAGTGCTTATGTTCCTAAAATAATATGGTCCCTTGAAGGATAGTTTAAAGCAAGATTCCATAGGGATTGATTCTTAGTGCATTCTGGCATCCTGTGCTTAGATGGGAATGGAAAATGTCAACTGTGCTGTGTGGGGTGAATCCAGTTCCCAGCACCTGAGTCAGTGGAAGCCGGTTTTTCTCTCTGTGTACACAGCACAGTTACAGGGATGGTGCTGTCTTAGGAACACGCTCTTCTTTTCCATTAGCAGCACCTGGCCTCTTGTGGGGACTATGAATTCTCAGGGCTAGCCTGGTTCCTTGATATTGCCCTTTCTTCCTTCCTCTTATGCTGGGGCTTATTCTGATTTCATCCTTCAGATTCCAGTTTAAGCTTGGCTTCTCTAGAGAAGCATTCCTAGCCCTTTGCCTGAGTTAAGGCCTCTTGTTACCCAGTCTCATCGTTTCTCATTCCCTGTGCTTTTCTTTCATAGCACTCTGCCCTCTGGTCATTTTGTGTCCAGTGTTTGTCTGTCTTTACCAGACTAAGATACTTGAAGACTGAGGAATCACTCAGTTTTTCTCTGCCTCAGTGGTTTGTGCAATAAAATCCATTCTGATGCATAGGGACCATTTAAGACAGAGTAGAATTTCCCCATAGGCTTCTAATGCTTTAATTTTTCCAGAAGCAGACTGCCACAACTTTCTCCCTTGCAGCAGCTGGTAGGTTTGAACCATTGACCTTTGGGTTATCAGACAAATGCTACTAGGGCTTCTTGTTTCTGTGAAATGGGAGATAATATTATTTATCTCAGAGGATAGTTGTTAGAATTAAATGATTCGTACTAAGTGCTGTGTGTCTTTATTACTAGGTGGTAGTGGTGGTGTGCCGTGGAGTCGGTTCCGACTCATAGCGACCCTGTACAGGGTTTCTGAGGCTGTAAATCTTTACAGGAGCAGAAAGCCTCATCTTTCTCCTGCGGAACAGTTGGTAGTTTTGAACTGTTGACCTTGCGGTTCGCAGCCCGATTCGTAACCACTACGCTACCAGAGCGCCTTCTATATTACTAGAAGTAGTATTAAAGAAGAGGTAAAAAAATAAAAAGCAAAAAATAATTGTCATTGAGTGGATTCTGACTCATGTTGGATCCATACATGTCAGAATAGAACTGTATGTCATAAGGTTTTCTATGACTGATTTTTCAGAAGCAGATCACCATGCCTTTCTTCTGAGGTACTTCTGGATGGACTCTAGCTCTCAACCTTTTCATTAACAGAATGCAGGATCTGTTTGCCTGTTCTGATACATTCTTGCTTAAAGTGAATGATGATAAGAGAACATTGAGAAAGTGGATACTAAAAAAATTAATGTACTTTTTTTCATTCTAGTTGTGATGGTAAAGATTTTTCATCCTTTTAGCACCTACTAAGGAGCTCTGGTAGCGTAGTGGTGACGATTCGGGCTGTAAACCTTAAGGTCAGTGCTTTGAAATTACCAGCTGTTCTGTGGGAGAAAGATGAGGCTTTCTGCTCCCGTAAAGATTTACAGCCTTGGAAACCCTGTCCAGGGTCGCTAAGAGTCGGAACCGACTCCACAGCACATAACAACCACCACCACCATGTGCAAAGCACTATGGAATGTAGAGACAAAAAGAAGAGACCTTACAGTTTAGCCTGAAAGATGAGGTTTATAAGCAGATAACTAGCATGCATTGTAGAAAGAACTAAATATGATGAG